ACCTCATTGTGAAGGAAAGTATGAAAGTGATTGGGGAAGGCATACAGAAGATACGTGACTGTTCAGTTTTGGGTGGGGACACCAAAGAGATGGGAAAATTTTGAGGAGACAGCTCGCCAACTTCGCAATACAACCGGTAAGAAGCTCATACTTGATTGTGAAACCCGGTGGAATTCAACTTTTTTATGTTGAACACTGCTTTGGAGTATAAGGATGTGTTTAATCGCTTAAAACATCATGAACTGAAGTACAAGTGTATGCCTAGTGATCTAGATTGGAGTTTGACCAAAGAAATCTGTACTAGGTTAGAGATGTTCTACAAGGCCACTAATCTCTTTTCTGGTACCAAGTATCCAACTGCAAATTTGTGTTTTCCTGTGGTTTGTGAGATCAAAGTTGCTCTAGATCAATGGCGTGTTTGTGGGATAGAGAGAATTGAGGTGATGGCTGCTGATATGCTAGTGAAGTATGAGAAATATTGGTCAGATGTTCATGTTTTAATGGCGGTAGCATCTATTCTTGATCCCCGCTACAAAATGGATGTGTTGGACTGTTATTTCCCTGAGATTTATGGTCAGAATAGTGAAATAGAGACGGAGAGAATTATGTCTTTATGTCGTAAGTTGGTGGAAGAGTATGAAGAGGAGGAAAGGGTGAAAGAACAAGTGAAGGATGATGGTCAAGTGAGCTGTCCACAAACAGGAGCAGGTGTTGGGGGGTCATTAACTGGGAAATTTGACTTATATGCTTCCCGAAAGAAAAGGAAACCTATGAGGTCAGAGCTGGATACTTACTTGGAAGATGATATCATACCAAAGTCTGCAGATTTTGATCTTTTATGCTGGTGGAAATCAAACAAGGGTAAGTATCCTATATTACACAAGGTTGCAAGAGACATCTTGGCTGTCCCGGTTTCCACAGTGGCCTCTAAAGCTGCGTTAGCACTAGTGGAAGGGTAATTTCTTCACATTGAAGTAGGTTGCATCCAAGTAGGATCGAAGCTTTAATGTGTGCACAAAGTTGGCTGCGTGCTAATTCAAGAGGTAATCAACTAACCATTATTATTGTAATTGAAAATCTCATTACTTGTCTTATAAAATTAGAATCCATCTTCATTGATTCTTTTTTGGAATGTAGATATGTTATCAAAGGACAACCTACATGGTACGGTTCTTGAAGATTTTTGATGAGTCAGACAATGAAGTTGAGGTACTTTATTTGTCTGCTGGATGGTAATGCATTCCAATGAATTTGTCTAGAGTGAGTTTCTTTATAGAAATCAAGGTTTGCATGGAAGCACTAAGTAGTAGGCTGATACTTTACATGCTGCCAACAATTAATAATTTAAAAACAACCATCGTTTATAAGTAAATTGTGGACTTTGGATTGCAAGTTTGACAGCAGCAAAGTTTAATAGCTAAATACCTTCTTAACACGCCATTATTTATGTGTTATGCTTACATAGGTGCAGGATAATGGTGCCCAAAGCTAGGGGAGGAGATGTTTACTGTTCTAGAGACTAGAGGAAGCTTATTGCTGCTACTGAATGAAGTTTGAAGTTTCCAGAATCTGGACTGGTCAATTGATATGTTTTTGTTATGTTCTTTTAAATTCTTATGGTTTTTGCAAGTACTTTATGGATTCGGATTTCATTTCTGAGAGGATGTTTGAGAGTTGAATTGAGATGATTGCAGTTTGAATATTTGGGATGTTTGCTTCGTTTTTGGATTTTTATAATTGGAATGTGGAAGCAGATTTTCATTTTATGAGTTTTGTTCTTATAAACTGGAAGTGGAGCATGGGGTATATGATGATTGGTGATTAGTTTACAGGTTGCGAACTTGGAATAGGGCAGGGTGGGGTCAAAGCTTGGGGCAAAAATCATTGACCCGTTGCGGGTCACAGGGCAGGCGAGGCGGTGGGTTAAATGGCAGGGCAGGTCACGGTTTTGGGGGTACCCGCCCCAATGATGACCTGTTGCCATTACTATGGCTCCTCATTATTAACTTGGAGAGATACACATAAATTGGTTATATCCTCTAAGAAGTAAGTAGTCTCACTCTAGTGTATTCCCTCACTTTTATCGTATAAAACTAATTAGGTTATACAGAGTGGCACATAAAGACCTTATCCCTTTATTTCAGGGAGGAAAATCAAGGGAAAGGAAAAATGGGAAGGGAAATTACATTCCCAATAAACTTTTCCCGTGTGGGAAGAGTGGAACAGTGTGGGAGGAATGGAAATGAGAGGGAAAATGCAATGTACTAGCTATCCCTCCAAATAGTGCAATCTACTTCGATGAGAGCCTATTAACCTCCCATCAGAGCTAAAAGCATATTCGGAAGTCAATGATGTGATTGGTATAGCCAAGAAATTCCTTGCAATTGCTTGCAAAGTGGGGTACTTAAGGTCATTCAGTTTAAACCACATCGGTATATAAGTCAGGAGACCTTTTAGGAATCAGTTCCTCAAGAAGATAGTGATCCAGTTCAGTATGGATCAGAGTTGCTTTGCTTTTTTTCCTCCGACTTACAAACAGTTTAAAATCATGATCATCATTTGCAGGACTAGAAGAACTATCATAACCAGTTGAAGAACCGGAATTGTTCTTCTCGGACTTGGTTTGGTAATTAAGCACCAAACCACAAATACATTGCTTAATCTTATCAACCACCAAGTCAGTATTGGTACTGCCAAACTTAGCAGCATAATACTCAATCACATGCAACTTGTATCTAGGATCAAGAACCACTGACACAGCGAGAACCAAGTGTATATCATCCCAATACTTAGCAAATTTCTCTCGCATACTCTCAGCCATAGCCGAGATAAGAGAATTGGTATAAGCACACCATTCCAACAATTTCTGTCTCAGATCACAAACCTTGGAGAAAAACAAATTAGCAGTGCGATACTTGCTGCCAGAAAACAGCTTTGTAATCTCACTGAAAATTTCCAGCTTATCAATGACCATAGCAACAAAATATTTGTGCATACTAGTAGGGACAGTGGTGCATTGACTATCCCACTACCTCAAACGAGAGAAAACATCTCTATACACAATGGCAATAGATAGCATATCATATGTGGAATTTCACCTCGTTGGACAATCAAGCACAAGTTGCTTCTCATAAGGCACTTTAAGCTGCTTAGCAGTTTCAAAGAAGGTTTGTACCCTCTTATGAGTGGACTTCCAGTACACAACACTATCTCTAACCAATTCAATGCCATCCTTGATAACTTCCAACCCATCTTTCACAATAAGATTCAAAACATGAGCAAAACATCTCATTTGAACCAACACACCATCCAACAACAAATCATCCATAGCAAGTTTAGTTTTCATATGAGTTATCATGGCATCATTGGTGGTACAGTTATCCAAGGTAATCGAGGACAACTTCCTATCAAGATTCCAACCAAGCAAACACTTGAACAACCTATCTCCCAACCTCTGACTAGTATGAGGGGCAGAGACATAGACAAAGCTCAACATCATGTTTTTAAGTTTCCAAGAATTGTCAATAAAATGGCCAGTCACTGCCATATACCCCATCTTTTGGTTAGTTGTAGTCCACATATCAATTGTTACTGCAACTCTACCAATATTACCATCTAAAACCTTATGAAACTTTGCCATTTTAGCCCCATATAAAGCAAATATGTCCCACTTCACTTATTTCTACAAGGGACAGTGAACTGGGGTTGCAAAGAACAACAGAAACGTTTAAACCCCAAGTGTTCAACAATATTCAGGGGATACTCATGCACCATAATCATAGAACACAATTCCTTCCTAGACACATCAGCATTGAATTGAGTAGCAGATAGGAGGGGTTTTCCAGTTGGTTTATAATCAGGACCAAGAACTCTCTGCCTACCATCATGTATCTTTCTTTGGGTGCAAGTTTTGTAATGGTTCCTCAGGTGGGAGGTTCCATTACTAGTATCACCACCTAAACGTATTCGACAGTCCCTACACTTGGCTTTAATCTCCCCATTAAACCTCACCCTCACAAAATGTGGCCAGACATCATAAGTCAATTTACGATCTTCCTCCAGAATTATTTCAACATTTTCATTTTCATTACTCAACGCATCATTACCAGAACCATTAGCAGTAGCAGTACCATTACCATTACCGTTTTGAATAGAAGGCACAGTAGGATCATTCACATTCAAAGCACCATTTTCAATAGCACCATCCATCTATATAAACAATTAAACAATTGCATGCAATCAATGAACCATAACTACCCAGACAAATCACACAACACACAATACAAATTACAATCGAGAGTTGAATTGGAGTAAGGTTATGCCTAACCTATAATCTGGAGAGGGATATTTTGTTCACCGGACTGCAGACGGTGAGTTGATGCCTAATGCGAACTTGAAGAACTCCAAAACAAAGCAAAAAACAAACAAAATAACATTAGCATGCCTCGATTGATAAAGACCTAGCTCGTGAATCTGGACAAATGAAGGCAGAAGTTTGTGCTTACCTCGATTGTGCTCTGAGCAGAGTGCAAGTAATGGGTTTAAGGAAGAAGTTAGGCGGACCAGTGACCTGAAATTAATCGAGGGGTTACTATATATACGAGAAGAAGGAAGAAGGCAAGAAAGTGCAACAGAATACGAAAGGAAAAGGGAGAAAGAACTTATCTCGATGTGTGATATCACGCCGATTTCCCCCAATAGCTGCAAATCGAAGATTGCAGTGGGCAATTTAGGGTTCTGCATGATGTTTCCCGACGAAATCGCCGACAAAACAAGCCTCCAATTGGCCAAATTGAGAGATAATGACTGCCTACTGACAATCATAGTTGTACAAACAACCTGGATTGGGAGGAAATCGTGGGGAACAGTGAGATTTTTTAGCGGATTGGATGTTTGGGGGATTCGATTGAGAGAAAATAGCTAGGGTTTGCGAGGTTCTTGAAGAGGATGGGAGCAGTCAATGGGGAGGTCGAGGGAAAAATTAAGATTAGGGTTTCCCCTGTGATCAGTTTGGTTTATATACGACGTCTAAAACGACGTCGTTTTATGATAAGAGGTGTGGGCAGGGCGGATACCACTTATTCCCTCGCCACCCATCACCCACAACTCGCAGGTTTCGGACAAACCCGAATCCGCCAAAAACCCACAACAAACGGGTATTTAGGTCACCATCTGGACGGATTTCGGGTGGATAATCGGCGGGTCGGTCAGGGTAGCCAAGCCTATGATATATGTTTACGGTGTGTTTCCGGACATCCACGAGACCCATTTCTCAAAATCACAGCTTGGCGAGCTGAATTTGGCAAGTGAAGTACATTACAGCTTGGCTTGAATTCGGATTCTAAATTGTACAAGTCTAATAGTAAGCGTAATAACATGAATGGAAACAACTGTCGACAGTGATATTAGAAAATAATAAAGTCTCGAACTCATCACGGTACTTATAATACGTTGCACAGAGATTCTTGATTCTCTCCGTTGTGCAGATGAATAAGTAGACAATGGAGATTTCTTGGCTCATCCAACCATGGTGCGTTTTCGACCCCGCTGCCGAACTGAAACAAGCAGGCGAAGACAATCAGAAAAAAGGAAAACCGATTGAGACCAAAAAGAGCAAAACCAAGAATGCAATAGAGCAGGACTGCACCTTCAGCTAGCTTATTGAATGTTGCTGACCACTGCTTTGAAGATTTCCTGTATGCAGCAAGTATGCGATCCATCTGTGTACATTAATGACTAACATCAGGGGGAGCAATAGTCTTTCGAAATAGGTTTTAGTCAAAAATATATATCCAAATACTCATATTTACTAACTGCAAAGATTATTCCCAAGGATCACGAGTTCAAAAGATGCATTCGATGAAAAGAAAGTAACATTCTAATCCCAGATTGGGGTGATTATTAACTTCTTGCCTACAGTGACCAAAGATTATGGCTTACCACATTCCCGCAAGAGGAATGCATTGAGAGCAACGCTCGCTCCAATACATACAAGTCAACAGCTTTATCCTCCGGAAGAGTCGATGTAAAGCTCAGACCAAAATCAATGAGAACCTGCAAATTCACAGGCCAGATTATATGATTATTTTCTCCAAACAGATAGGATAATAGGACCGATCTACAGACCTATGGAAAGCACAAAAAGCAAAGAGACGGACACAGACAAAATAACTCACCAATTGGTTGGAAACATTCCTGATTAGCATGTTTGAGGTGGTCAAATCTCCATGGATAAGCCCGCCATCATGTAGTTTTGCAATTGCAACTCCAATCTGCATAGCAATATCGTCCAATCGTTCTTCCACTATACCATTTGATCCAAATTCAAGGAGGACATCTTTCACAGCAGGACCGTCGACATACTCGAATGTTAAGCTGTGCAATACAGTATCCACAGCATAAAGAGCAGGAGTGGAAACTCCGAGTCGTCTTGCTTTCGTCGTGCATCTAGCTTCCTGCTCCAAAAAAAAAAAAAAAATTCCAGTTCATCAATAATCACTTATGGAAGGGGCAAAAAGACCCCTTTTTTTATTATCAGTCTCAAGGAAATACAAGAAAGATGCATGATAACTCACAGCATTCAGTCTCTTGAGGGTAAGCTTAGCATCTAGAGTTGGGTGCCTGTACTTCTTTGAGAACCGTTCCTTAACAACCGCCCTCCTCCCCACAAAATCCGACTCAAAGACCCTCTGCAAAATATGGTACCAAACTCAATCAATTCATCAACGATGTACTTCCACTTAAGAAGAAGGCAACTATGAAACTGCTGAAGGGAAGAGGACATCCAATTGATATGGAAACCAGACGGTACAACTAGAATGCAAGTAAATGAACTTACAGCCTCAGCTCCTTGCTTTAGCAACACAAGGGAGCCATCTCTGACAGATTCTTCAATATCCATTAATGGTGAACGATCCGGCTACTGAAAAAAAAAAAAAAAAAAACCCCACCTCAGAGCACTATGGACTCCACAGTATCAACGGTTGTACGCGGCTGCGGGAGGGAGGGAAAGGGAACGGCGGATGAAGAGACTAGAGAGGGCTAGGGATTTCGATTTTGGGGACGTCCGTGAGATGCATGTGTATTTTCCTTCGTTTAAACCAAAACGGCGCCGTTTATAGTCGCCAGACTAGGGGTGGGAAACGGTGCGGTCCGGTCTAGACCAGATCATAAATACGGTCTGTGGTCCAGACCGAGAGGTTGGAACACAGACCATGGACCAGACCATATACTATACGGTCCAGACCAGACCACACATGTGCGGTGCGGTACGGTATGGTCTGAACCAGACAGACCATGTTAAAAAAAAAAATTAACTCTTGTTCGCCTTCCAACCCTTCGCCGGTATCTATAAAAAAAATCTAGTGACCAATATGCTAGTGAAACAAAAAAAATTGTGATCGTATTAAATGAGAAGAAATATGAGGACAGAAGTGGGGTTTTTCAATTTTCAAATAGCCTTATTTCCCTATTCCTCTTTGTGCTACCGCTTCTCTCCTCTCTCGAGTGATCCGAAGACTCTCCCAGTTGATAACCTTTTTTATGACGTTGAGGTAATTTCGAACCACTAAGATGGTCGCATATCTCTCAATAATTTTCCTTATCTCATCAAGGTGAACGAATTTTTTTGTAGCATTTAATTTTTATCGACTCCATAGTCTAGACATTATTTGTTAATATTATTTATGAGTCTTTCTAATTTTGGTGTGGTGCTTTGATAAGGAGATAACATATAAGCGATCATTTTGCAATTGTTGGCTCTCAACTAGATGAAGAATCAACTAACTTTGTTCTTCAAATACATATATGGAGGTTCAATTTAGTGTTATTTTTGTCCAATGTAGTAGGTAGTGTGTCGCGGTCTGTTACGATTTACTGCGGTAGACCGCGGTCCAGACCACCTCAGACCACGCACTAAAGAAGGAGACCGCAAACCAGACCAGACCATAGTTCTGGTCTCACGATCCAGACCAAACCATACGATACGGTCTAGACCGTTGTTCCCCATACGGTTTGGTCTGGATTCCCAGCCCTACGCCAGACCTGTAAAGTGTACTACTACAGTACTACTCACTTCTGTAACTGGTTCAAATCGCAGGGGTGCTACTGTAATTTCACGAAAATAAGAATTGAAGAGATTAGAACTAGAACCTTGGAGGTAAGAAGGCCGACGACTTGCCTACTCGCAGGTCACAGCCCCAGTTCCCCACCTTCTCTCGTCAGATTCCAAACCCTAATAAGCCCCTCCGTCGAATCGGCGGTGCTCTGTGAGCCCAATTTCTCCTCGTTGGCATTAGAGGTACTTCTTCTTTTGCCCTTGGAGCTTTACAATTTTGTTGATGATGGTGTTTTCGACTTATTGGCGTGATTTGTTGTTAGTGTATTTTGATACAAGAGTATCTAAAGCTCGGGAACTTTATTAACGAAGCGGAACAATACATCCTTAAGACAGTGTGTGGTGTGTTACCTGGGAATCATGAAAAGGGCAATTCCGTGGAGCGACGACGACGACGGCAAAGATTCTTCGGATTCAGATGAAGAATCGTCCACGTCGTCTTCGGCTTCGGATTCTCAAGATGATGGAGGCACCACCAAGACGAAAAACAAGAATGCCTTGAAGCACAAGAACTTGAAAGGTACTCACTGTCTGAAACTTGAAGTGTTTTACCTTTTGGTAGAACTACTGAACTCTGCCGAAACATAGCGATCCTAGACTCGTTATAGAAAGAAGCTTCCAGGGTTTTATATATAATCATAAGCTTCCAGGCTTTTAGTTAACCCTCAAGTTGTCAATTTGAAACCAATAAGTAAAAAATTAAGGAGTGGTTTGGTTTTGGTGATAGTTAAATAGATGGATTGTCATCAATGCATGCATAACAATATACATGTATATACGAAAATTGGTGTATTGTAGATTAAATCCTTTCGTTTTTGTGATAGTTGTTGTGTTATTTAAATAAGTTATATTACTTTTTGGGTGAAATGTCACTTTCACCCTTTGGTACAATATACAAAGGCAAGACACATAAAAATGTAGGGATATAGTTGGAAGAAGAAAACACACAACAATCTCAACCAAACAATCTCACCGAAAACTTGAGATTTAACTGTCACTCATTTTGAGTGATAGTTTGTGTCAAATCAAGCAAACAATGCATGTATTGTTTGTGCACAAAATTCAAAAAAACAATGCATTGTGAACAATGAAAGTGACAGCAATACTGAAAGAGCTAATGCATAATTCAACTGTTTTGCTACTTAACTGTTGATTGTCTTCTCCACTCCGTAGTTGCTTGAGAAAAGGTGAAGAAATTTGCCAGATTGCTGTTTAAGAGGTCGTTTGGGTATTGAAATTGACAATTGATGGATTCTGACACTTATGGTTTCATATTTTCTGTTTGGATATGGGAATTCGTGGACTAGTTGCTATTTATCATGCTATCATCTAGGTGGTGTTAGTTTAGGCTGAACGAGAACTATAGGGGGGTACAGAACACCCAAGCGTCTTGATAACTACTTGACCTTGACGCTATGAACCAGGGTAATCAACTGACCATGCAATTATTGCTCTTGAAGTAGTACCCCTCCCTGAATCAGTTTTGAACCAGCTTCTGCAAGTGCTGTTGCCGCTGCTGGTGCTGAAATAGGCAGTGATTTGAAAGGGTCGTAGGAAAAAATTTCACTACCTACAAAAGCTTCACACGTCGTCCTGATTGATTGATGACAGGATGCAGTATTTTGAAGAGTTAATAAGTATCCTCTGTTGGTTTGAACAGCAGTAATCGTGCAGCATCGTTTTGAAATTGGTCTGATGGGTTAATAATTGGAGCTTTTTGGACATAATATCTCTTTTTGGGACACGTTTTGTGGTTCCCTTGTTAGTTTATAGTTTAGTATAGAGGTCTATCCGGCCTGTTTTATTTTCTTACTCTCACCTGCATCGGTTTGCAGAAGAGCAGGCTGGTGTTTTTCTTTTTCTTTGTAATTTCTGGGTTTGATATTAATTAATTTGCATCGCCATTATCAAAGAGAGAGAGAGAGAGAGAGAGAGAGAGAGAGAGAGAGAGAGAGAGAGAGAGAGAGCTTTAGGTATGATACCCTTGAAAAGTTGACTTAACGTCATGGCTCATCTTCCTTTTATGTTGTTTCTAGGCAAGTTTGTAAGGCGTAGGGGTGGAGCTGTGGACTTTGAAGAACTGAGGCGGCATGGATACAAAGGTGGCCCCTCACTTCTGAGAATGCCACCGCCTAAAGACGACACAGAGCCCAACTGGACCTGGTCTACAGGCAAAGAAGAACGCCTTGCTGCCACCAAGGACAAGAATGGAGAGTCTTACGAAGAGCGGCAGAAAACAAGGGCAGCTCTAATGGCTGGGGAGCAGCTGATGCATTCACAGACCCGGAAAGAGAAGGAGGAGAAGAATCAGCTTTCATTCTCGCAGAAGGAGAAGAGGAAACGAGAGCTTGGTCAGGCTAGCAGGGGAAAGAATTATGTCGAAGAAGAGAAGAGGTTGTTGAGAGATAGTGGCGTCTACTCTGGCTTTGATACATAAAATGATAAGTAAGAACTCAGATGCAACGAGTAGTGCTCTGTTGTGCAAAGTGATGTAATGCAAGATTTTGTGTTTGAATGAAATCCTGGATTGGGCATCAATTGGTGTTTTCAATTGATGAAATTCCGGATTTCTCAATCAAGTGCATCTTTCTTGCTCTAAATGTTCATCTCATTTGAAAATGCTGAGGATACCATATCAGTTCATCATTTCTGTATTTTCAGTTCTATCACTCTCTTTCTCTTCCATAAAATTGCAGAAGCATGTGGTATCATTTCCCACCAACCATTTCATAACCATTGGCTTAGTTTGATCAATTGGTAACTGCTCTTAAGTATGTAAAAAGAATAAACAACTGAATCCTCCATAATGACAAGTGGGAAAGATTCAATACATGAAGAAACATCCGCTTCATTAAGGGGCCATGAAATACAGAACTAAATTAAAGAAAAAGACGTTGCTTAAGTCGCAGCATTTTTTGGTCATTGTGTAGTAGAGGCAGACAATTTAACCAATCAAGCCTCCTCGTACTGCTAAACCCAGTCCCTGATAATATTCTTGTGTCGATAAGTGTGCTGAAAAATCAGTACCCTAATACTATCATAACGGTTTCTGTCTCGTTCAAACTTGAAGTGTGCTCTACATCGGTGCATCGGTTGATCTATTGGCAAGGGTTTTGTAGATGGCTCTGATGGTATTAGGAGTTGTTCTACAACAACCTCCAACCAGGCAAGCCCCTGCATCACACCACTTGTTTACATATGATACGAAATCATCATCAGAAACCCCTGTATTATGCTGCACCAGATAGAGAAAATAAAACATGCCAACATTAGTACATCTCCGAAATTTAAAAACCAAAACGTATGATGTGTATAATTAGCAATAATGATGTGAATGTTTAAACAATGAGTCAAGGGTTGGACACTTGACTTCAAGAATGTAACATCTAATAAATGCAACCTATCTATGCATACAGCAGGGTCTCAAATCTGTGGAATGAGAAGGGGAAGGAGGTGAGATAAACTTTCATACCACCTAGGCAGAAGCTTAATGATTAGCAGTATGCAGTGTTTTAATTGGAAGTAGTAACCAAATTGCTGCACGTTGAACTGCTGAGAGAAACTTACCACCCACTCCTTTATTTCTGCATCATAGCATTCCCCACTGTTCGGATATATAAGGATTGGTTTGTTTGTTACCTGGAAACACGAAATACATTCGGTAAGTAAACCATTCTAACATAAGTTGGAGCATCAGACTGTAAACTCGAATTTTCATATAAAGACGAGATGAGTCCTGCCAAGTAAACACTAAAGTTTCAGAAAGACAGGATATTCTTGTTGCACAGTATCTTCATTTCCATAGAAGGACAAGATTATGTCAGTTTACGGTTGAAATCAAGAAGAGGGACTTGTTCACTCAGATCTCTCTTCACTCGTGATGAATGTAAAGAGAAACATTCACATTCGCATGAGAAAATAAATAGTACCTTTCTAATGGATGATATCAATTCATGGATAAACCTAGGAGGTGTACAGTTGATCCCAACGGCCACAACTCTCTTGCATCTATCTGCTATAGTGGCACATTCAATCAAAGAGTCACCACTAACAACATTGATTCCGTCCTTGGAGTTAAAAGCAAACCATGCAGGAACTTCAATGTTTTCTTCCTCTAAGAGCTCAACATAGGCCTGCATGCATGTGCAGCAAAAGACTTTAAGCCAGCAAATTACAAATGTAGCAATGCTGTTAAACAAATACAAGGTGTTCAAACTGCCATTGTATTTTGTTTCCCTGTCTCAGCATCTCTACAGCTCTTGATCCAACATTGAGACAAAAATAAGGCATTATTGTGACATGCAACCAGTCTGTAACTGTCCTGGGAGTTGTGGTTGATTACCTGAGCTTCCACCTTATTTGGAATGGTTTCGAATGCTATGAGATCAGCACCAGATTCTGCCAAGATTTTAACCCTTCTGCGATGAAACTCCTTCAAGGTCTCCAAGTTAACAGCTTCACCATAGAGTCCACTGTAATCAAAAAACAACAATGTGCAAAATTTGTCAACTTTTCTGATAGGGATATGAATATTTCAGGGAATAAGTTTGAAACAGCATCTGGAAATGGATTTAGAGAAGGCTCTCCCGTGACTCGTGTAGTGATAGGCATCTATAATCGAGATAGAAGTAGGCCGTCATCCAAGGATAGACAACACCTAGCTAGCTAACAAGGAGAATTGTGATCAATCATTCATATAGGTTCCAAAATCCAGGTCAAGTATGGAAGAACCCTGCCTTTAGTGAACTATTATGTGAAGAGTCAATAGTTGTGTGAAATGAAATGTCTGCGACTAGAAGCCCTAACTCCATAAAAGAAAAAGGAAAATGAATGATGTAGGGGATTAATGCACCTGTACTCTGATCCATCAGCCAAATAAGCTCCATAGCTGCCAACAGAAGCAGCAACTATAATGGGCCGCTGCTTCAAGACTTTCCCACTACTATCAACGTCATGTTGAGCTTCTTTACACCTTTTGGTATAGGCTTCCCTTGCCTCACATGCGATCTCCACACTTCTCCTGAGCATGGTTTCACCTTCCTCGGTAGTGTATCCCTTTGCCTCAAATCCCTGAATGGTAGCCTGTTTGATAACAGCAACAAACAAAGAGGTCAGTTTTACAGCCACGTCCATGTACGCAAAGAAGGGAGACCGTGTCATTGCCTGGTATGATGCGGTGATAATAATATCAGCGCCAGCTTCAAGATAGTCAGTGTGCACCTGCTCAGCCACGAAACACAGTTAGAACGGAAAGGAATGCAAACTCTTCTTCAAGTTGCACAATTCATGAATTCCAACCAAACAAACAAAATTTTCATAATGGGTAATTTTTCAAGATGATTACCCATTTCAAAGAAGTTAGTAGTGATTAAAAACAAGGGAAATACTCGGGGGATTCCTGCTTAAACAAAAGAGAGGAGTTACATGGCAAAATCCAAGTTAAACTGCAAAAACAAACTCCAAGTTTATAAATCTCCCATTTGCGCTTCATCTACCATGATACTCTGGCCAACGTTCCAACATCAATCGACAATGTGTGCCATAGTTCATTTAAGTTGCCCTAAGAAGCGATGAACTACACGAGCCAGGCCAAGACCTTAGAAGTTTTAGCTAAGTCGTCGGAACTATACCTTAACAATCTTTCTCCTAACCTGCCTGCTTAATCGAAACACAAAAAGAACGCAAGTCCGAACCTAGAGAAAAGCGAGAGAGAGCTGCGAACAACGACAAACTACATTTACATGGTGACGGGGTCCATTGGCCATTATACCAAAAACAAATCAATACAGAGCTTAAATTTTCGGCAGAAAGAAGAAGGCCCAAAGGACCAGCACCCGCACATGGTGGTCCACAGCCGCTGACCAAACTTCCGGCAGCATCCAGATAAGCACCGGCACGGAAACGAAAATAAACACTATCGAAAGTTTTCCAAAAAAAAAAAAAAGTTAACAATTGGGTACTTTTGCCCTAGAAATTCCCAATGTGAAAAAGAAGGAATCAATTGAGCACGCAACAAAACACAGAAAGGCGCATATTCCACCAAATGCAAACGTAGATAGGGGTACGGAGAGGAAGAGTACCGTGTGGATGAGATGAGGAGAAGTGAGGAGACACTTGGCACTCCAGAGCGGATCGTTGAGGTCGGCACCGTGGCGCTCGAGCTCGGTGGCGAGGCCGCCATCGATGATGGCAACGCCGCCGGAGTGGCGGAGGAGATCGGTCATGAGGGGAGAGGGATGGCCGGAATGTCCCATTGATTCAACGGCGAAGGAAGAGCGTAGAGGAAATGGAGGGTTTTGGAAATGGCAGTAGCTGCGCAGGGGCGATGGAAGCTTTACTTATTGCGAAATAACTGCTACAGTGGTGGAGAAGTGAACTGAATACTTCCTTCCAGGCTGCGAATGAGAAAAGGGGGAAAATGTCAGCTTTGTAAGCAAGATTTGCTGCAGACGGATTTTTATATTATTATTATTACTGTTGTGACCGATCAGATCAAGGCGCGTGGAGGTTTGTTCCCTCCCTGCCTTCATTATTTTTTTGCTTAAATGGGACCGACATTTCAAGGCTGTTGCTTTACCTTAATAAATCCTTGATTAGGAAATTATAGGTAAATTGCAAGGTTGGTCACTTTAAGTGGTAAAATATTTATTTTTGATCACTAAAAGAATTTCTTCCATTCGTGGTCATTGGAAGTACTTAAAGTTTCACGATTGGTCACTCTCCGTTAGTCTCCAACTCTCCATCGCTCTCTGTTAACGGAGTTTGTTATCTGCTGATGTGGCTAACATAATCGTCCAATCAGCCTGATTTAACCTGGAAAAAAAAAAAAGAAACTCGACCCTCCCATTAATTTTACCCACCATGTCAGATTCCCCCCAACCCATGTTACGGGCTGACCTAAGAACAACCCAATAAAATAAAAATGAAGAAACAGAGGCGCCATTTTCCCCGATCCATCTCCTTCTTCCTTAGAACCTTCCTCTTCCCTTTTTTGCAAAATTCATCCGAGACCACCCTTGTTCCTCTTCATCGCTCCTCTTCTTTTTCCTCTATTCCACCCCACTTGAAACCCTAAATCCACTCGCAAATCTCTTTTCTCCCACTCTCATCTCAGCTCACCGCTTCATCAATCATTGCCAAGCACTGCTTAAATTAGTCATAGAGTCAGTGAATCGCAACACCAGCAAAATTTGTAGAACCCACTATCCTTTCACCTCTACATCTGGTATGCAGACATCATCGACGGATCTAAATTCTATGGGGTGAACATGAGCGTGGGGAGATGCTATGCCATCCCGATAAGCGTCGCAAATCACTGCAAACACATATTGAACGATTTTGGCATCTGGGTTTCTTAAAAAGCTTTAAAAGAGGCGAAAACGAGAAGCAAGCGACGACGGCTGACCAAGAAGAAGATCTACCGCAAATCCTCCACCACCTTTGGTGAATCGTTAGAAGATCACCTCTCTGGATCCTTAATCGCATACCAGATCCCCAATCGTGGTATGTTATGCTCATGATTCTTTCCTCTTCCCGTTTCAGCAAAAACTCAAGAGCTCCCAATCGTGGTCTACGTTGGGTTTTGGCCAAAAGGGCAAAAAAACTGTCTTCTCCGCTTAATTCAAGATGGGTTTGGTTGTTCGGATTGTCATCAGGAAAAGTGGGTTGAGAGAGATTTCTTGAATCTAGGCTAGACCAAGTCTAATTCCTTATATAATAGAAACTCCCATGATGATGATTGATGAGGCGGCAGTAGAAGGAGAAGATGAAACTGAGATGGAGATTGAAATGTGGAAGAAACCGAAGAGGAAAGGAAGGGTCCGGTTATGTGGTTTGGTTGGATATTTTAGCACTTCAAGTGGCCAATCTTGTAATTTACCCAGAAATCATCTAACAAAAGTTAACATCTCCTCCTTAACCATATGATAGATATTTGATTCTCAAGGTGGGAGGGAATTTGTATCACATTGGTCAAAATAGCAAAAATAATTCACTACTTATGACACGCGGGCGGCATACTTAGTCATATTTCACCCCACGGTATTGCATCAAGGGGTATGCTGAATACCAACCTAATCACACGATGAGGAGTACTCCAACATTTAGCCAAATTTTGGCCATATTTCATCTACTAGGGTGTATATAGGGATGGCAATGGGTCGGGTTGGGTCGGGTTTTGTCAAACCCAAACCCAAGCGGCCAAGCCCATGAGTCTATCCATAAAAAAAATCTGGGGTAAAACCCAATGGGTTTGGAAAACTCTTACCCAACCCAACTCGCTAGATATCCGTGTGTTCATGGGTACCCATGGATTTTTTGTTGTAAAAAATTTACAATAACAAGTTCCTATCAAAATAAAAGTCAAACATCAATCTCTCAATACAAATTATCCATACATAAAACACCAATCAAGAAAATTCAAACAAATCACAAATTATCCATTCAAATTGTAAATTAGATTGAAGGAAATTAGAATTAGAGTAGAGTTTGGAGAGTAGGTGACGAAATAAGTATGGGCGGGTATCCATGGGTCGGATATCACTAAACCCAAACCCAACCCAGTGAAAGTGTAACGGGTTTAAACCCAAACCCGGCCCAAAATCCATCAACACAGGTTTTACCCGCGTTCACCGGGTTGGGTCAGGTAGGGTACCCATGGGTTCGGGTTTTGTTTCCATCCCTAGGTGTATACAAGGCTGCAAATGAGCCAAACTGCTCGTGAGTAGCTTGACATTCGGTTAGGGGAAAATCCGTTCAAAACTCAAATCGCTTACTAACGAGCCAAGCTTGAGCTAAGCCTTGTTCGGCTCGCGAAGCTCGCAAGCTAGCTTGACTCAATGGCTTGTTAAGCTTAACTCATGAGCTATCTCATTTAGAGCTCATGAGATGTCTCAACATAGTGGTTAGAGTGCCAACTCGATTACCAAACTATGAGCGAATCAATCGATATCTTATGAGTTGGACTTTGATAATTCATATGATTATTAAATTATATATCTCACCCTATAGGAAGTTTAACACATTGAGTATGTAAGCAAATATGCTTTATTTTTAATTTTAAAAAGAAATTACGTATCGTAGTATGTAAGCAAATATTGCTCTCTATGACTTAAAGTAGGCTCCTAAGGTATGCTAGGATTGAGTCCTATTTTCTATAATTTGAATTTGAAATAAGTAATTATGAGCATACAATATTCATTGAAAGAGTTGGATCTAGACGTTTGAATTCTGACCATCGATTCATATGTTGATGATCTCATGTATGCAAGTAATGATCTTATGATGATTCCAAATTTCAAAACGTCCATACAAATATAGTTTGAAATGGCATGCCTCTGGGAAATGCACTACCTTATAGGTGTTGAGGTCATTAAGAATGATTCTGGAGTGGTCATATGTTAGCAAAAGTATGTAAAGGATATTTTTATACATTCAAGTTGTAGGATTGCAATTTTGTGCATAATCCTATGGTTCCTGGTACATAATTGACTAATTCTAGAGATGGGGTGTTGGTGAATCCCATTGAATACAAGCAACTAATTGGCATTCCAGCTCCTGAATTTGGAGTTGGATATCTTGTATTCGCCTCCCTTGTATAGAAGTGATTCGAGGATGAGCAAGGCTCGAACCATTCTCTTTATGATGGGTTATGTCTGGTTTTCATGGTAGGGCCTAGTAACTGGCTCAAATAGCAGTTTCTTTGCAGATGGAGGCCACTAACCACCTGCATGCGGTGCTACGTGTTACATACCATTGTGATGGTGATGGATAGTGCTACTTTCATAGTAGTGTGATGTTGTATTGTCCATATTGATATACATCCTATCTAGGTAGTAGGTTTGCTAAACATAGTTAATATTTTAAGTTTAATCACACTCACTATCGGTGTTGCTATCCTTGCATATTAGGTTTTCGTAATCCTCGCCACATCAATTACGGGGTAGCTTTCACAATTTCATCAAGTTCTCCTGCAAAATTTTATCTCATTATTTTCTTTGAGAGACCTTTGTCGCATACACCAATTGTTCCAAAGTTTTTTTTTTTTACGGTACCTCCCATATTTTAACACCAGCTTTTGGATCACAAATTGTTTGGTGGATGATGGCAGTTAGTATGTTCCTACTATCATATGTGCAACCATTCTACACTATTGTATTCACACAACCATGATACACTTTCATACCACATGTGGTGAGGACGAGATGGATGACCCTCTTCATCGCTTGTGAAATTTGGGGGGAGAAAAAAACAATATTGGGAGGAGATGAAGCAATGACAAAAAAAACAAATAATAAAAAGGAGAGGGTAGAAGTGGGTTTACAAAAAAGAGGCAATTACATAATTGAAAATTTTGAGTTAAATAACAAGTCATTTGAAACTTTCGCATGAACGAAATAATTCATACATTTTTTCTTAGTACAAAAGTTCAAATAACTCAATTAAATCATTTGATACATAATGACTCAAGCAAACATCATTTCAATTACCAATTTGTATGAATTTGTGGGACAAGAGTCTATTAGTTTCTCAATAACCTCACTTTGCATCCATTAGATAAACAAAGATTTTTGTTTGGTCTTTTGGTTATCTACCTACCTAACCAAAACTATCCCATTAGCAGGTGTGTTTGTTTGGGTAAATAATCTTATTCCATCCCATAACAAATATCAAATCTTCCGAAGAAGTGGGTGGAGGGAGGGAGCATATCAATTAGGGCGGTAAATGAGCCGAGCTGTTCGCGAGCGACTCGACGTTCGACTCGAGAAAAACTCGTTTGAAACTCGGCTCGTTAATAAACGAGCCGAACATAAGCTAATCTTTGTTCAGCTCGCGAAGCTCCTAGCTCCACTCGGTGGCTTGTTGAGTTAAACTCGTGAGCTGACTTGTTTAGAGCGCATGATATGTCTCAACATGTGGCTAGAGAGCCAACTCGATAACCGACTTATGGACGAATCAATCTATACCTTATGATTTTAATTCATATAGGTGTTAAATTATATATCTCACCATATATGAAGTTTAACACGTTGAGTATGTGAGCAAATATATCTTATTTTCTACTTTAAAAAGAAATTATGTATCATAGATTGCTTCGATACTAAGAAATAACCTGATTTGGAATAGTTAAAATTTATTAAGTAAATGATATATGATACCAACAAAGTATAATATGAGATAGCTAACAATATCAATCATATGTATCATGATATACAAAATGAAGTACTAAATAAAAGTCAAGATTTTAGTAAACAAG